AAACTAAAACTAAAATAACAAAAACAGTATGGTACTGACACAAAGGCAGATAAACAGATGAAAAAAATAGTGGAGAGCCCAGAAATGAAGCCTTCTGTATATGATTACATGATCTTCCACAAAGTTACCATGAGCACACAACAGAGAAGAGATAATCTTTTCAAAAAATAATGCCATAAACTGGGTAACACTGATAAAATAAAGTTGAATCATTTCCTTGAACCATATATAAAAAATATTTTATTTGCTGGTTTTTTTTTTTTGAGACGGAGTCTTGCTCTGTCACCCAGGCTGAAGTGCAGTGGAGTGATCTCGGCTCACTGCAACCTCCGCCTCCCAGGTTCAAGTGATTCTCCTGTCTCAGCTTCCCAAGTAGGTGGAACTACAGGCACGTGCCACCACGTCCGGCTAAGTTTTGTATTTTCTAGTAGAGAGGGGGTTTCACTGTATATTGGCCACGCTGGTCTTGACCTCCTGACCCTCATGTGACCCACCCACCTTGGCCTCCCAACAAGCTGGGATTACAGGCGTGTGCCACCGTGCCCAGCCTTTTTTTTTTTTTTTTTTGAGTAGGAGTCTCATTCTGTCACCAAGGCTGAAGCGCAGTGGCATGATCTTGGCTCATTGCAACTTCCACCTTCCAGGTTCAAACAATTCTCATGCCTCAGCCTCCTGAGTAGCTGGGACTACAGGTGTGCACTAGAACGCCGGGCTAATATTTGTATTTTTGGCCAGGCTGGTCTCCAACTCCTGACCTCAAGTGATTCACCCGCCTCAGTCTCCCAAAGTGCTGGGATTATAGGCGTGAGTCACTGTGCCTGGTCAAAAAGTATTTCAAATAAAATGCTTAGACATAAAAAGAAAAAACAAAAAACTAGCCAATCTCTTAGAAAAAAAAACTTGACTTGGGTCTTGGCATCATTTCCTAAGATACGACATTAAATGCATATGCAACAAAGGAAAGAACAGAAACATTTAACTACACTATACTTCAGAATTTCTGCACATTAAAAAAAATTCAATAGACTGAAAATGTCTTCTAGGAAATGGGTGAAAATATATAGAAATCACAAGTGATAGTTAATATTCAGAATATATGAACAACTCTTAAAACTGAACAATAAAGTTGAATAACTTGATTTAGAAATGAAAAAGTAAGGCTGGGCATGGTAGCTCACTCAGGTAATGCCAGCACTTTGAAAGGCCGAGGTGGGTGGATCACGAGGTCAGGAGTTCAAGACCGGCCTGACCAAGGTGGTGAAACCCTCTCTCTACTAAAAATACACAAATCAGCCAGGCGAGGTGGTAGGCACCTATTAATCCAGCTACACGGGAGGCTGAGGCAAGCTGAGGTAGGCTGAGGCAGGAGAATCGCTTAAACCCAGGAGGCAGAGTTTGCAGTGAGCCGAGATTACGCCACTACACTCCAGTCTGGGCGACAGAGTAAGACTTCGTCTCAAAAAAAAGAAAAAAAAAGAAATGAAAAAATAATTTTCATCAAAAAATATACCCAAATGGGAAAAAAAACATTTGAAAAGAAAAGCAAAATTAATGATTTGCAGAGAAACACATACAAATAAAAATGAGGCCAGGTGCTTGCCTCACGACTGTAATCCCAGTACTTTGGGAGACCAAGTCAGGTGGATCACCTGAGGTCAGGAGTTCAAGACCAGCCTGGCCAACATGGTGAAAATGCCGTTTCTACTAAAAATACAAAAATTAGCCAGGCATGATGGTGGACGCCTGTAATCTCAGCTACTCAGGAGGCTGAGGCAGGAGAATTGCTGCAATCCAGGAGGCGGAGGTTGCAGTGAGCCACTGTGCCACTGTACTCCAGCCTGGGTGACAACAGTGAGACTCTATCACAATCCATCAACCAATCAATCAATCAATCAATAAAATGGAAAAACAAAGTTGCCTCACACTCATTACAATGGCCACTCTACATTTTTTTAAAACACCAAATCTGTTGATGATGCAATGAAAAAACAACCTGTGTTGATTGTTGGTAGAAAACAAGGATGCAGCCATTATTTTAAAATGTTATAAATGCTTCTTAAATAATTAAAAATGGAATTATCATCAAATAGAGCAATCCCACTTATGAATATATTTCCAAAATATCCAACACAGGACCTGGGACATATTTGAACATCCATGTTTATTGTACCCGTATTCACAAAAGCCAAAAGGCAGAAGCAACCCAGGTGTCTCTTAATTTATAAACACATCAAAAATGTAACATATACATTCAGTGGAATATTATCACAGAAATCAAAGATTATCAAATATTATAATTAAATCAAATATTATCAAAGAAATCTTGTCACATTTTAAGATAAACTTTGAAAATATTATGTCACGTGAAATAAGCCCAAAACAAAATGATAAAAACTATATGATTCCACTATGTATATGAGATATCTTAAGTAGTCACACTTTAAACAGAAAGTGGAAGGGTGTTTGTCAAGGGCTGAGGAGAGGGTAAAATGGGTTCTTGTTACTTAAATGGATACTGAGTTTTAGTTTACAAGATGTAAAATTTCTACTTTTGCATAACAACGTGAATATATTTAACACGACTGAAATTTACAGCTTCTTTTTGACACAGGGTCTCACTCTGTCACTCAAGCTGAAGTGCAGTGGCACAATTATGCCTCACTTCAGCCTCAAACTCCTAGAGTCAAGTAATCCTCCCCTCAATCTCCCAAACAGCTGGGACCACAGGTACACACCACCATGCCTGGATATTTTTTACAATTTTTGTAGAGAGGGAATCTCTGGATGCTGCCTAGGTTTGGTCTCAAACTTTTCGGCTCAAATAATACTCCTGTCTTAGCATCCCAAAATCCAGGGATTACAGATGTGAGCCACCACCATGTCTGGCCCTGAAATGCGCACTTAAATAGATTTAAGATGCTAAATTTTATGTTATGTGTTTTTACTGTTTTTTCTTCTCTTTTTTTGAGACGAAATCTCGCTCTGTCACCCAGGCTGGAGTGCAGTGGCGTGATCTTGGCTCATTGCAACCTCTGCTTCCTGGGTTTAAGTGACTCTCCTGCCTCAGTCTCCTGTGTAGCTCAAATTACAGATGTAGGCCACCATGTCCAGATAATTTTTGTATTTTTAGTAGAGAGAGGGTTTCACCGTGTTGGCCAGGCTGGTCTGGAACTCCTGATCTCAAGTGATCTGCCCGCCTCGGCCTCCCAAAGTGCTGGGATTACAGGCGTGAGCCACCACGCCAGGCCTGTTATGTGTTTTTACAACAATTAATTTTTCTAAAGGAAAAATGGAAAAAATACTGAATTATAAATCTTCTCAAAAATTACCTTCAAATCACAAAAGTGTTTCTCTCACACAAAGGAAATATATATTCATCATTAGACACAGGGAGAAAATAAAACATAATGAAAATATTTCCATGTCTACTCACTTAGACAAAATAGCCACTGAAAATCAGCTAAGAAAATATATACAAGATAAGCCATAACCAATATTGGGGTCATATTTATAGATAAACACACATATATATAATCTGATTGTGACAGACATATGGCTGATTTATCTGTTAAACATCACATTGACTTAAAGTATACAAACAGAATTGCAGATTGGCTAAAATTATATAAGAAAAACTAAAAAACCAAATAAGCTAATATTAAGAAACCTACACTGAAAAAACACTAATACGAAAACTGCACAACAGTAACAGACATGTTTACTCATAAAATCTGGTATGCAATATTAATATACTATTAAAAAAGAATTGTCTGGATAACTACAATATTTGACTGTGTACTCATGGAAGGCATGTATTTGGAATAATTGGCATGCACTATGTGGCAGTAAAATTTCACAGAATATGCAGTATAATTATAAATAGAATATACTAATGAGAAACTTTTAATAAATAAGCATGTAAAAAAAGTGGTAATTTTTATGTTTTAAATATATGCTATTCTTACACAAAATGAAACTGCTATAATCCAATTTCAGAAGCAAAGAATAGCATTACACTGCTAAATTAAAACTTACATTTTTCAAACTAGAGTTAGAGCCTCTGATATGTAAAACAAATATTTAGAAGTAAATTATGTTATCATTTAGATATATGCTGAAGAAAGTGGTTGAAAATCCTATAAATCCTTTTTACCTGCAGCAAACTTAAGTAACCATTCTAGTAATATGGAGTGCCTACCAATTATCTAATTTACTTCAGGCATAACATGTACATTCTAGCATATTGTCCTAAATTTGAAAAGGAAAGCAAAATTAATGATTTGCAGAGAAACATATAAAAATAAAAATGAGGCCAGGCACTTACCTCCTGACTGTAAGCCCAGTACTTTGGGAGGCCGAGTCAGGTAGATCACCTGAGGTCAGGAGTTCAAGACCAGCCTGGCCAACATGGGTGAAATCTAAAATTACAGACAAGTTTGAAATGGAAAATAGAAAGCAAAAATGTATGGAAAGAGTAACATCAGTGACATGAAAAAATAAAAAGATGCTGTATTTGATTATCCTCACCACAGCAAAAAAAATTTTCAGTCATCCCTGACAAAAAATGCCTTTATGAGACAGTCAGGCATCAAGGCTCACATCTGTAATGACTGCTACATGGTACATTGAGGTTGGAGAATTGCTGCAGGCCAGGATTTCAAGACCAGCCTGGATGACTAACAAGATCCCATCTCCAAAGCAAATGCCTTTAGAAGAGCTTTGAGACCCAGGGAGAGAGATGTGACAGTCTGCTAAAGCCCAAGATTGAGAAGTGTTTTTTTTTTTCAGAGGACAGGCACTTATTCACGTGGGAAACTACGGGACCCCTGGTATTGGCTACACACCAAGAAATGGCCCACCCAACTTAGTCCAACAGAGAATTCTGAAGTTACTCTGTAACCATCCCAAACTCCTCCCAGTTACAGTCTAAGAGAGGTCCTGCCCTTCCAGAGACCTGGAGGAAGACACCCATTTGCAGCCATGCAGACAAGTCTACAGACCTTGGTTTTTACTGTGGTCCCTGAAGCAGTTCAGTGATTCAGTTCCAGCTCTCAGCCACAGTGCATGACCAGTTTTGCCTAAATAGAAATCCACACAGTGACCTGGGGAAATCCTCTCTGGTACTCAGTGAGAGGCAAACCCATTCACATCCTGATATAAGGGTTATTATGTATGGAGCTGACCACAGAAACTGCCCTAGTGTCTGCCCTACAGATCAAAGTCTTAAAGAATATTCAGTCTGTCCAGAAATAAAACGGAAATTACAACTACCCAAGCCCTTTGTAACAAACCGTCTAAAGGTGGATGCTAGCGCAGACTAAGCAGTCTTATGACCGAGCTACAACCCCTCTTCACTACAAACCGAGAGGGCATAACATCACCCTAGGGACACAACAGAAAAAGATCTTTACCTCCTGAAACCTGTTTACAAAACCTAAGGAGTTGTTTGCTCCTGCAAACTCACAGATACCAATATAAAACTACATTGTGCCCATTGTCAATGTTTCTACTTTAATGTAACACTGAAAGTGTGTGGCACAAAAATTAGTCAAAAATATTTTGAAAAAGCCATTGGAATTGAAGAGAATAAAAAGTTGCATTTTGTGGATCGTGTGATCTTATTATATAAAAATAACATAAACAGTACATTAAAATTAGTGTAAAAAGCCAGGCATGGTGGCTCACACCTGTAATCCCAGCACTTTTGGGGGCTGAGGCAGGCAAATCATGAGGTCAGCAGTTCAAGAACAGCCTGGCCAACATAGTGAAACCCTGTCTCTAGTAAAAGTACAAAAAAAAAAAAGAAAAATAGGGCAGCAATGGAAGCGGGCACTGTGAGTCCAGCTACTTTTGGGAGGGCTGAGGGGAGCGGAATCATTTGGAACCCAGGGGGTTGGGAGGTCTGCGAGTGAGCTGAGAGTGGTCAGATGCACTGCCGCCTGGCGGGTGGACCAGCTGAGATTCCTGTCTTTTGAACAACAACAAAAGAATTGTCTGAAACTATAAATATAGTCGAGAGTCAATTAGGAAGATATAAAATTAACCGATATGAAGGTTAGTGGGGTGGCATACAGTGTGTGAAGAGCGAGTGTGGGAGCATAGGAGAAAGAAAACAATCTTAGTTTGATAATGAGTTTAGAAATGAGATAGAGAGGTTTTCGCACAAACGCAATTTAGACAAGGTGGTAAGAAATTTTGTTTTGTTGTAATCGAGGTTACCTTTTTTTTGGTAGGAGACGGTAGAGTCATCGCTCTGGTTCACCCAGGCGGGAGTGCGGAGTGGGTGCGATCGTCAGCTCTGCAGAGCTCGG